GATATATTTTTGGAGAGTGGGGATGAAATTAATCCTCAACCATAATCTTCATACCCTGGCTACTGGCTCTAAGCAACTTGCTGTCCTCCAGAACTTGACTGACTATAACTAACAGCATAGATACTCATTGGCTATATGGCCCAAGATGGTTGAGAGCTGACACCCAACAATGTCTAGAGAGCCACAGTTTTCCCACTTCAGTGTAGGAAACAGATGGGGTGATAGGCTCACTTTAATGCAATTCCTAATATACTTTTTGACCAGGTAACGTCACTTCCCAACACACTGATATGGCGGGATGTTTCCTGTTATATTTCTCACCTGTGGTAAAGGAAGAAAATTAACTGCGAGGAGCCAGCATTGTATAATGGTTTGAACCCCTCTGCCACGAAACCCACTGGATGACCATAGTCAAGTCACACACTCTCGGCCTCAAAGGAAGGCAAGAAAACCCTTGGATAGGGTTGCCATACATCAGAAATGACTCAAGCGCACACAATAAATAAATTATAGGTTTTCATCTTTACAGCCAAGCTCTCAGGTACTTCTATGATATTCTGCTTCCGGAAGCAAAGGATAGGGTGCCTCCTTCCTCCTATTCTATATACAAATACTGTCAGGACCAAGAGGTAACTTGTGCTTTTCTATTGGTGGCAAGACAACATCCTCCATTACATCTAAAGGCTACAGATAAGAGCTGTAAGGCAGAGTTTATGGGATAGTCCTGTTCTTCAGGAGGGGGGAAAGACCCTGGGCTATCACCATTTTCAAAATAGATTTGCCTACTGTTAAGACCAGCACTCCTAAACCATAAGTGTATCTACTCAACACAACCTTAGCCAAGTTTGGCCCAGATTTAGGAGACTCGGTGATAAATGTTTGTAGAGTGCATGATTTCAAGCTTCCTTCCGTATTCCTGTTCCATCCTTTAAAAACACCCTGCATAGAGTATTAGCAATTGAGCTTTCTGACAGCAATTTCTCCCCCTTGCTATGAACCGGAAACTTTGTTCACTCACCCGGGACCACTCATCTGCCACACTTCGTGCCTGACATGGTAAGGTCCAATAAAAACATTCAGTGCGTGATTCAACTTAATATACAAACTCACTCTATCAAAGCAGGATTGCCAACTGATCAGGAATTTTTTTAAAGATGTGGTTGCTCTTCTGTCTCTAACAATAGCTTAATCTTCTGAAATTAGTTGCAGAAGCTTTTCATGACACAAAGATCAACGTCAATCACCTACGGGTGACTGCAGAGTTGTCACAGCAGCAGGAGCTGCTTTGAAGAGTCTGGCAAACCTGCTCCCCCGGAAAAGTGCTTGTTGTTGATCAGAGCTAGAGAATGTGTGTTCCTGCTGAGGCCATTGGATTGCAGTTCCCATCAGCCCCAGCAAGCACAGCTGCTGGTAAGGGCTAATGGGAGGAGTTGCAGTTCAACAGCCAAACCTTTCCCCATCCCTGAAGATGGATGAAGATGTTTCATTGCTATCCTCCGTTCCCTTGTCACAGGAAGCAACATTTAGAATACACCTCACCCTGAACTACAAAGGGGATGCCCCCTGTCTCTTTGTATCAATGTTCCCTCTCCAAAATATATCTCAGTACAGAGTTCTGTCCATCCTACCACTTGATCATGTCAATGGGGCATCTTTCCCCCCAGTAATCTAACTATTGGTTAAGTAGTCATGAGGTTTACATTAATGGGTGGCTACAGCAAAGATGGACCACCTGTGCTGAGCTGCTGAACTTGCTTTTGGAAAGGTTGGCAGTTTGAATCGGGAGCAGGGTGTGCTCCTGCTGTTAGCCCCAGCTTCTGCCAACCTAGCAGTTTGAAAACATGCAAATGTGGGTAGATCAATAGGCACCGCTTCTGGGGGAAGGTAACAGCACTCCACACAGACATGCTGGCCACATGACCTGAGAAGTGTCTACAAAGCCGACTCTCCGGCTTAGAAATGGAGATGAGCACACACCCCCTAGAGTCGGACACAACTAGACTTAATGTCAAGGGAACCTTTACCTTTTACAACAAGGATGTATAGTTGTGGGGTTTCAAACTCCTACTTGAGAGTAGGAGTAAAAAAACGTACACATGGGTTTCATTCCAAAGCTCCCTCTATCTCTGCTCATTAACACTCCTTGGAGCTCCCTCCATCTCTGCTCTTTAACACTCCTTCAAACACTTCCCTCTGCCCCTCCTTCTCCCAACCTTCCAGGAATTAGCATCTTCAGACAATGCTTCATGCGTGACCTGTTGCCCACAGCTTTGAAAAGAGCCCAGCAGTCCTGCCCCCTTCGCTCTCCCCCTGCCAAGAAGGGATCAGGAGTGTATCTCACACCCGCTAAGTTTCGGGCTGTACAAATAGATTTGCAAGCTGACACATTCACACACCCTGAGACACTTCTCAGTGGAGCAATGCATTGCTTTGTGAGGGGACAGCAGGGTGGGAAAGGGTAGGTTTGTAAGTAAATATATCCTCAGATGAAGCATACACACATTTCTCTTTTTTGGGGGGAAAAAACCTTGGCAGTTAGACGCAAGCACTCCAAGATGCTCTCAGCCCTGCTGGATTATAAACACAGTATTGTACACATGAGAGAATATTATACAACAGAATGGAGCACAAGCAGGTATGTGGATGTTGCTCCACCACCCTGAGATATTTCCCCCCTTAATGCACGTACTTGCTCAAAACCCACAGCTAGACAAGACAGGCAGTTGTTTACAGGGAAAGCGACATAGTAGAAAAGATGCTCGGAGGCACACATGAGTGCACAGATGAGAAATAACCTGTGACCAGTTACATGAGAGTAAGTACAATGGAAAGTAGAACTGAATGTCTTTTTTGAAAGCCCTGTATTTCTCCCTGTTTAATACATCTTGATATTTGTCCCAGTACTTGGTCCATCTAGCCCATTTTCCCTGTTGATATCCATTTCTGCATCTCACCGTCCTATCCCATGGAGAATAGGAGTGGAAGAAAATGGCTCCATCTCTCTCGCTCTCTCTCATATATATCTCAAGATCTATCATTTTAGGGGATTCTTCAGGTGTTAGTAGCAACACCAACAATATCCCCTACCACCTAGCACAGGTATGGGCAAACCCAGGTCCGGATGCAGCCCCTTCGGCTCTTTTCTCAGACCCTCCTCCCTCTCACCATTCTATCCTTCCTTCTCTCTTTCCTTTCTCCTTCCCTCTCTTTCTTACCTCCCTCTTTCTTCCTCCGTCCCTTCCACCCTTTTGTCCTTCTTTCCTTCTCTCTTTCCTCTCTCCCCACTCTTTCTCCTTCCTTCCTTCCTTCCTTCCTTCCTTCCTTCCTTCCTTCCTTCCTTCCTTCCTTCCTTCCTTCCTTGCTTCCTTCCTTCCTTCCTTCCTTCCCTCTTTCATTATTTCCTCCATCCCTTCCCTTCCTCCATTCCCTTCATTCTTCCTTCCATCCTTCCCTTCCTTCCTTCATTCTCTTTTTCCTTCCTCCTGGGGGATGTTTAGCTGGGAGCAGAGATGGTAGAGAGAGAGGGAACATTAAAACCATGTTTCAAGATTTAAAAGGGTGTCCCGTTGAGGAGGAAGGGGAAAACTGATTTTCTGCTGCTGTAGAGACCAGGGCACAAGGAGCAACGTGTTCAAATGGCAGAGAAAGAGATTTGACTGAAAAGATTAGGAAGAACTTCCTGGAGAGTGGCATAGGCTGCCTGTGAGTGTGGTGGAGTCTCCTTCTCTGGAGGACAGCCTCCTTTTCCATAGAGGCTGTCTATTGGGAGTGCCTTGATTGTGCCTTCCTGCATGGCAGGGGGTTGGACTGGATGGCCCTTGGGGGTCTCTTCCAGCTCTAGGATTCTATATCAGGAGTAGGCAATACAGGATCTAATGGATACACTTTTTCTCATCCGTCCACCATTTAATCCTGACCAGGGCCAACCCTTTTGGGATCCAAACATTTCCTATCTTTCCTTCACTTTCTGCCTCCAAAAGAGAAAAGGAAGGGGAGGAAAGGGCAGGGAGTGGGCTTGGGGAGAACACCCTCCTTTCCTCCTGGCCTGCCCAACCCACTCTGGCTTGCCATGCGGCCCCCAAGTTAGAAAGTTTGTCCATGCCTGACCTAGCATGGTTGATGTGAGGAATCCACATCCACAGAAAGCCAAAAAGATGCCATATGGAGAGCAAAGGTGAACTGGGTGGATGCATGCACACCATGCTATAAGGGGAGAGATGTTTGTGTGTTTATAGATGCCACAACAACACAAATCTTCTTATTTGAAAAGAAACCTTTTTTCTATTCCTAACTACAGGAAATAAACCCTGCTCAGGCGAAATGTACATTCTATAGAAGCATACATCAATGCTTTACAAAGCTTCCTTATAGTTTTGACAGTCCCTGATACTGTGAAGGCAGATGAGACACCTTCCAGATCCCAAATGGGGCAAGAAACTCTCCCTTAGACATGAAAAATTTCTCGCTCTCACACATAGATCACTTTTGAGTGGGAAGCCACCTAAACCTCTCAACTCAAAAAAACAAAACAAAAAACAGTCTTGTGCTCCTTGATCATCTGCAGTTGTGATCGAAGATAATCCAACTGAAGGCTTCCTCGGGAAGCTCTAGAAATGCTTACCAATACATAAAAGCTCCACATGCTGATAGACACCCATAGTCAAAAGAAAAGCCTGCTTCAACAGAGGGAAGAGACAGTAGTACCGGAGAGACACAGCACAACCCCATAGGAAAGCAGGTAAGCAGCCACTATGTTTTAAAATGCCACCATCACATGTGCAAATGGGGAGGGGGATGCCTGCATTACACACAGTAAAAAGACATGCATGGCTCTGAAAGGTTTTCTCCATCTCCCCCTTTTGCATGTTCTTGCTCTTTATTTACTTCCTTCTCCCTCTCTCACATGTCCCCAGCCTTGGGCTCTCCATGTGTTTCTGGGTCTCTCCTCCCTCCATGCCCCCCCCCCCCAGCAGTGCTCCCGCCCCTGCCTTCCGCTACTTGGGCTCTCTGCCAGTGCAGGCAAAGCTCAGACTCTCTGCCAGGGAGCACAGAGGCAGGCAGGCAGCCAGTCCTGTGCCATGGCTAAGCCATCCCGAGCTGCCGAGGAGCCTGTGCCCTGTGGCAAGCTGTAACGTGGACACCCAGGCAGACAGACAAGACAGCCCCAGGTGGGGAGGGACAGCCAGCTCTCCTCCCCAGGTAGGATATGGGTGAGGGTGAAGGGATGGGAGTTCTCTCTTTGGGGCAGGAATCAGGAGTGGAACCAAAGGATGGAGGAACTAAGGCTGGGATGCAAGGATAGGGCATCACTAAGATTGTGACCAGAGAATGTGGTGCGGGAATGCATGCTGTCTATGATCAGGGGTAATGTGGCCGGGGATTTCATGGTGAAATGGGAGTAATATGAGCTGTCATATGGACCCCGGCGCAACTATTTCTACCCTTCAATTTAGATTTCTGGAAAGTTGAGGGATATCTTTGGGACCAGGGAGGGAAAGGCATAAGCGTGACCATATGTGGCAAGAGGCTGGTTCTCCTGGACTGGAAGCAAGAGATTGCACTGTGAAAGTAAACGGGCTTGACTTGTATTAATTGAGAGCAATAAGTAAGAGTCTCTGGCCACATGGATGACAGAAGAGAAATGTACTTTGCATATGAATACAATCAGGACAAGATCGTTAATAATCCATTCGGTGTAATTGGTGCACTTAAGTGACTGGTGGCTTTGTACAACCTCGCTATCTCATATTTGAGTGTTTATCTCTGTCTCACTCACACAGAGACAAAGGTAGAAATTGACAATACAGCTTTCTCTCTCTCTCTCTCTCTCTCTCTCTGTGTGTGAAAAAAGGAGGAAGAAGAGAGAGAGATTCGTAAATGTAGTGTCTATTCAACAGTGTGTGTGTAAAAGAGAGAGAAACAGAGAGGGAGATCAGTAAATGTAGTGCATACACAGAAGTGTGTATGTGTGTGTGTAATAGAGAGATCAGCAAATGTAGCGCATGCACAAAAGTGTGAGTGTGTGTGTGAGTGAGTGAATGAATGAGGTATCAGTAAATGTAGTGCATACACAAAAGTGTGTGTTTGTGAAAGAGAGATCAGTAAATGTAGTGAATACACAAAAGTGTGTGTGTGTGAAAGAGAGAGAGATCGGTAAATGTAGTGCATACACAGAAGTGTGTGTGTGTGTGTAGGAGAGAGATCAGCAAATGTAGTGTATACACTAAAGTGTGTGTGTGTCAGTGAAAGAGATACCAGTAAATGTAGTGCATACACAAAAGTGTGTGTGTGAGAGAGACGGAGAGATCAGTAAATGTAGTGCATACACAGAAGTGTGTGTATGTGTGTGTGAGAGAATGAGATATCAGTAAATGTCATGCATACACAAAAGTGTGTGTGTAAGAAAGAGACAGAGAGAGATTGGCAAATGTAGTATACACACAAAAGTGTGTGTGTGTTTGTGTAAGAAAGAGAGGGAGAGAGAGATCCGCAAAAGTAGTTCATATTCAAAAGTGTGTGTGAGAGAGGGGGAAGATAAAATGATAATATTCTGGAAGCTGACTATTCTGCGTTGGTTAAAGGTATACCGGCTACATGGATGTCTACAAGTGCATTGATGTGCACTAATTCATATTTTGTGTCTTATTATTAGTAGGAGTGCATTGCCTGTGTGCCTTTGGGCATATACATATTAATAGATGGATACCCTGGGCAAATTTCTATGTGCATGCCATTCATACCCATCTCCTATGAATGGACAGATGTAGGCATACATGTTTGAGCACCACTGTGTGGCATGATTGTGCATGCAAGCAAGTTATGTGTTTCTTTCTAGCACATTTGCACAAACTTTCAATTTCCCACTGTGCCTGTCTGTGTGCTCCTGTTTACATTGTGTGAACATTTGGCATACATTTGCCATATACTGTATTTCTGTGTTTCTAAGACTCACATTTTCCCCATATAAACATCTGTAAAAATGGGGTGCATCTTTTAGAGAAATAGATGAAGCTCTTTTTTCAGCTGTGGTACTGAAATTAGTCCGCGCCTTACAATTGATTGTATCTTAGCATAGAAAAAATATGGTACATGCAAATCGCTTTTTCTGTGTAGAAAAGCCAGGCACTCTTTTACTACAAACTAAATGGAATTACTAAATCCAGAATAATTGGAACTATCCAAGGACTGCAGAAGCACAATCACAAAACCGAACTGTGGAGTCAGCAGGAGTGTCTGGGAAATCTACTCCGCATCTGAGCATTTCTAATCTTTGAGGTTAGGTTAAGAAGCTTTTGAGAGACGCATGACATGTTCCTAATAGTTAAAATGCGAGCCCTTTTCCCTACCCCATACTCTCCTTGCTCATCCATCTATCAAAGGACCTATATTATACCTCTCCTAACTGCCCATGACTTTCACACCAGTCTCACTCCAACAACCTTTCGATAACATTATTTTGCAATTGGGAGAACAGAATACCAAACTGACCTTGTCTTCTAAGAAGCTGTTGCTGCTTCTGCTGGTGCTCTGTGGGATTTGTGCAGCATAAATAACATCTAATGGAGTCATTAAATCAAATAACATTTGCATTTTTGTGTGTGCGTGTGCACGAACATCTTCATTTCAAACTGCCGAAGCTTTTGGATATGCAAAAAAGCCAAAATCTCCCAATTCCCCACACAAATCTTCTGTTCTTGAAAATTTCCCCGTGTAGATTCAAATCGGTGTGTCAGAAATCCTTGATGTATAAGGAGGATCAGCAAATCTCTTTTTCAGCTTTTCTAAACAAAAGTGTGTTCAAGGGAGATTGAAATGTCTTAAAGCAATAGCCCATTAAGAGGACTTGAGCATGTTCTGGACTAACCCAAGCCATTTCGCTGCTTGATCTGGAAAACACAATAACTCCCATTCCTATTTAATCAGTAGATGTTGTTGGGGCAGATGTATTTTTCTTCAGCACTGGTGATGGGAGACCACTTTCCATCTCACCTTAAGAGATAAGACTAACCAAGAGGCACAAGGACCAGGTTACCTGGGACACATGGATCAACCCTCCAATAGCCCTAGAGCTACTCTTACCACATTCCCCAGCTTCTGCTGCCTGAGGAAACTGCCTCACTCTGTTGAGAATGACCCCGAGTATATGCTGCAAAATTATTTTTATACAATCTGTGTGTGTGTGTCACACACATCCTTCTGTGTGTGTGTGTTATGCTGCATGAATGCATGTTGTAAGCCCATGGATTAAATTAACATCGCTCAGAAAGAGGATAAGATCACAGGGTGCTTTGGAAGAGAGAGAGAGAGTGGAAGAGAGATTTCTCTCTTTTCCATAATAATGGAGCTGCAAACTGACTGGCAGTAAATTCATGACACACAAAATAAAACACTCGATTGTTGCTTCACAGAATTTGTTGTCACAAGGACAAGGAAATGGATAGTCACTGGCACAGGTATCTTTTATGGTGAGTTTGAGATACATGAAAAGCAATCGTTTCAAAGGTTCTATTCGTCACTATGAAAATAATAGCTAAACTGAACCTCCATATCCTGGGGCAGTCTATCACTGAATACGAGCAGCAAAGAAAGGCTAATGCCTTTATGTGCAGTATTTAGGCTCCCCTGATGCATCTGCCTTGACTTTGTGGGAAACAGGGACCAAACTGGCTTTTGGCCTAATCCAGTGGTTCCCAACCTCTTTGTCTCCAGGTGTTTTGGACTTCAGCTATCACAGTTCCTAACAGCTGGCAAACTGGCTGGGATTTCTGGGAGTTGACATCCAAAACACCTGAAGGCCTAAAGGTTGGGAACCACTGGCCTAATCCAACAGGATTCTGCTTTGAGTAGCAACTCCTACTCACTTTGTGCTACAGGTCCAACACCAAGACTTCAGATGTTAACATTAATTCAATTTCAGCAGGGCATCCTTAAATGTCACCACTTTCCTTCTCTGCACATCAACTAGGACTTAAGCAATGTGGGATCATCTCCACAGAGATCTTTACTTCAATTGATTTCTACTGTGCAAAAGGTGAATTGAACAGCTACCTGTGCAGGTCACTTACCTGGAATCGGCAAGAGCAGAATTAGGAGAGTCTTCTCCTGTCAAATTGCCAAGAAGCAAACGATCCTCCAGGCATGCCTCCAACTCTCTTGGGCATCTCAAGCAAGTCTCACACAGCATCCTTCTACATAAAAGAAGATCGTGTTTGTCGTTTTTCTTTCTCTCTTCCCTCTGTGAGGATTGTGATGAACTCGGGCTTGCCAGAGTTTCGGAAGTAGGCACTGAGCTCATTCATGCTCCAAGCCAGCTTAAGCTCTTTTGTCACTCTAGGTGAAAATTAATTTTGTTCTCCACACCTTTTCCTCCCCTCCCCACCATATACCTCTTCTCACTTCTTTCTCAAAAGGGAGTGTGGATTGTATTTGGGAACGAGGGAAGAAAAAATGCTCCCCAAAATTGAATGGCTGCTCTTCATTCTACATTCAGAAAAGAATACCGGAAAAACTAAACTGGGGGAGGGGGGGATGTTACCAATTATCTCAGAACTCGGAGTCTTGTCTATCAAGAATCAAGAGTGAGAATGAGCCGACTATAGGCTCATACAGAGTTATTGAAACATCCCACCTTTTGTTCCTATTCTTTCTGATTTTATAGCGGGTTACAATAAGCCAACCTGGGGAGCTGGTAGAAAAAGTCTCCAATCGTACCAGCAGCTGACAGAAAATATTCTGGGATAAATTAAACGTGTATGGATCTCCAAAATAGAGCCAGAACAAACCTTTCTGATCTTTTTCTTCAATCTGGGTGCAACCTTTGTCAACCGGTTTTGAGGTTTTTAACTGGCACTTTGCTCCACCAATTGGATCCCCGTGAAAAAGAAATGCATTTAAAATTACAGAATGTATTCTGACTACAGAAATGGAAAGGAAAAGGCAGTCCTTCCACATAAATCCTATATCCTCATTAGCCCAAAATTTCTTAATTGCAGGTTAGAAGACACTTAGTTTGAGAGGACTGGATCCAGACATTTTGATGCCGGAGTTAAAGGACAAGATGGCACCCCTCCTATTGCATGTACAGCACCAAATCAATTGGACTAGCATTTGAATGTTGCTTCTTTCTCTGTGATGGGAAAGTGCCTTCCATTATGCCCAAGGACAAGAGACTACTTTTAGGGGAGCAAGACAGACCATTT